GGCACCATATTACAATTCGTCAAAGATACAAGTGAAGCCCATCCTTTTATGCTACGAATGGCGAGACTCAATGACGATGCCGACTTCGATGCGGGCGAAACTTCTGGGAATGTACCACGTCCACGGTCCGACTTTGGAAATAATGATACATATAATGGGCTCCGGACTAGGTGTGTTCCTCCAAATCTTCCTACTAATATGACCAAGTTGAGAAAACAAGGTCAAACAACTTGTATACAACGAAAGGAGACTGCGACCACACAAAAGGCCACACCATCTTGGTCTTCATACCTTCCTGTATATCCTTTAATTTACCGATCTCCTGGTCACTGTGGTCTACGTCCGCTAGACACAGACTCCTTATTATCTTAGACTATTACCCAACTGAAAGTTCATGTTTTTCAAGAGGCACCCCTAGTTCCCAAGTTATTCGATCATTATATGAGCGATTACTTTGATGTTTGGCAACACCACAAGGGTAGTTTGTGTGAATTCCTTGCCCTATTAAATAGAGTAGATGCCAACACCAAGTTGTCTATGTAGTTAGAAAAGAAATAATAAAGTGCTTTTATTAAATGTATTAATGAGCAAAGAAGGTAATTAGTTTGGCACAGACATGTATATGAAACCCATACACGCGGATTTCTCCATTAATTTCTTCTCCAATTATGTATGTTGAGTCAAAATAGGAGTTATGAAGTCTATGCTTATAAGAATTCTGCGTCAAGCGTGAGTAAACCACAGGGTTGAGGAGACCGATAAATTGAGGTATATTCTGTTGCAAAACAATTACCAATTAAAGTTAGTATAAATCACATATAAATTGCCAGTTACAAGATGAGACAAGCTTGCTATCTGGGGTTGGATAGACAGTTATACCAGTCTACTGGTTTCCCGATTTTGCCTTCCTGACAGCTTGCGATATATTTGGATGATCTTTCGAGGGAGTGGAACATAAAGATATTGTTTAAAGCTAAATGTGCACTTTCTTCAGTAGTTCTTTCGTTAAGCAAATTTTCAGACCCTCTTTCCAGATCAGGCTGCCACAATCTTTTGTGCTCATGTCGAAAAATCTATGTGGGAGAAACCCGTGCCGAGCTTTCGTCTGTCATGTGAGCTACATCGCAAGATAGGGGATCTCTAGAGTTGGGACAACCACATTAATAACCATTATAATATAATAATACAACATAATTTAACATAATCACAATTCAATATAATTACACATATAGTATTTTGGTGCGCATTTTTGTAAAGAGGGTTTCTTGCTCTGACCATGTCTATCGTATGGCATTGGGGGTGACAGGACGTTGGTCCGAGGACTTCTTCTTCCAATCCTATAGCCTTTACTCCAGTGTGATTACCTTTCGGTTACCGCGGAGACCATTCCACAAATTCCTTCCAGCCAATATTTTCTTCGGAATGCAGAGCTGAGTCACGTTAAATATTTAGGGCTTTTCTTTTCTTCATGTATATGCGCGATTTTCTACCAGTTTTCATTTCACTAAGTCAAATGTCTTATTTTACTTTTGCCATTGTTGTTTGAATGAACATGTCCGTACAGGCCGTGCAATTTGGCATGAAGGTGACTGCTTCTACGCCTCGGGCCTGCGCAGAACGGGACGACTGCCCCACTCGTCACAGAAGTCAGGGACGCTGGCAGCGACCGAAATTGTGGGTGTTCCAGGCGCCTTTTATGCTCCAGGAAGCCGTTGGGTAGAAGTAAATGACGCCTGCACCGAATGTGTTTGTCTTGGCAACCGGTCATATACATGTGCTCCACGACTATGTACCAGATTGTTTCTCTGTCCCAGTGGTCTGGTGCCCACGGCCCTGGCTGGTGATTGCTGTCCATCCTTATGCACTCGGCCACGCCTGAGGGAACGCACCAGGTTCCTGCCATCTGGACCAGCCTCACTGCCTCCGACCAAACCAATGCTTTTCGCTCCCTGTAAGTATTTTAATTATGCTATTCTTCATCGGATAGACAAGACTATAGCTATCCTATTCAAATCGTAAAAATGCATTTGGTTTCTAGGCTTAATCGTCTCCGCCAGCCTTGACAGCATTCTCTCTTAGCCGAATAGCCCCTCTTTACCAAATAATTCATGAACAACCATTTGCGTTGATAGAATCTTGCCCTAGTAGCCTTAGCTTAAGGCCAAAAAATGTACCCGGATGGCATCTAAAGAATGGCCCTATTTTCGTGCAGCAGTTTCCCCTCCGAGCTACTCAACCTTCAGAGGCAAAAGTAGAAAGGTTCATGAGTTACTTTCGTGTGACTGCCACCGAAATGTATGTTGCTGGTTTGCTGAAAGGTCGAGGTGAATTAGAGACTGATCTGTTCCATGTCCTGACGGTAGCTAAACTCAGATTCTTGGGATTCGAGTGCTTTGTACATGCACGATGACCCTATGAAATACACCAAAACACGACTTCTTTTTTAACTTTATCCACATAAAATGCCTAAAAAAATAATCTAGTCATAGTGGCCTGCCAGAACTTGGGCATTCAAGTCAGCTTACTCTGCCTGAAATGATTTTCATAATTTTAAATTCAGCCGGTCTCGAAATCAGATCGTGAAGGTCGTGAGGCGACACTTTCTGGGGGCATTCTATTCTCACATGGCAGGGCTGTATATCAAAACATGACGGACTCCCTTTATTCCCCACATTTTTAGTAGAAGTTCCTTTCAACAGGTCGAATTCGCATACTTCAGTATTAGAAGCTAGTAAACAGTATCCAATGCTATGCAAATTTCGTAATGTCTATATGGGGACCTTCGTTATGCTAGAAACTCCGACAATTGGACAAATGTGCTTCTAGAAAGAGTGAATAGATTTAACTGATTCTCCTGATGTTTCATTGTCTACCTGACCTTTGCTTTTATGTAAAGGTGTGTGATGAAAAGAGTCTTAGTTCAGTCTCTCCTGTACATTTGGTAGCGGATGTTTTTCTCTAGTTCACACGAGTGCATATGCTGGGCATAAATATGCTAGTTTCTGTTCTCGAATGAGGTCAGATTTTGTTTATTTCTATCATATGGTGGAGAAAGTGAAACTTAAAAACTGTGTCTCTTTACGATTGTAACGATCTACTTGTATCAGGAGTTTCAAACTACAGCAGGCCATGGCGAATTTGTCCTTATCAAACACTTTTATAGAAACTGCACATCAGTTCAATATAAGTAGCCTCGACAGTGAAGGTTTTTCAAATTTGCTAGTTTTTGGTAGGTCTTCTTTCACTTGAGACCTCAAGTAATGCTGCCTTCGCTGTCATGGGTGCATTTTCCCTGTGCCTCGGACGATTCAGCCCAACGTCGCCACAAGTCATTTAAGCTCGTATAGAAATAGCGATATAAGTTCATGATTCGATACTTGTGGATAATGCTTCCGAATAGTGAAAGAAAGAAGTTGCACAT